AATTCTGGGAGTTGAAGTCCACTCATCTTAAAGTGGCCAAGTTTGGACAACACTGGCCTAAGGTAAGCTGTAGCTTGTTGGTGAAATGGTGCAAATGATTATGCTAAACCACTCAAGACTCTATGAAGAACTTTTTCAAGGACTTTTTGAAAAACCAAGGTGTATCAGGTCACCTCCACTCATGTGCCTGTTGACTCTTGAAACAACTCTAAATGGCTTTTTCTATCAGAGTAGGAATACTGAAGTAGATTCATTAGTGACCTTCACAAGACAAGTCCCCTCAGAAATAATCCATCTGATCTGCTTGTTCATGTATACTCTAAAAAACTCTCTTGGCTATCTTTTATGAAGATGTGCACCTGAAATGTGTGAGCCAACTCCCCTGTTCCTATCACTGTCCCAAGGTAAGTATTGCACTGGTAATCTTTCCAGATTTTTACTGCCTTGTGCAATCACAGAGGAGTTCAGGATGTCTCAGAGGTGAGCCTGCTCCTTAGAATTATCCAAAGTATAGTGATTTATTTGTTGTCTTTGCATCAAATCTCAGTGGGATTTTGTCCAAAAATTGCTTTTTACATACACATCTGTCTCAAGAGCAACATGAAGTGATACCTTTGCATCAGAGGCATTGACTGCATAAATGCCTCCTGTGCTGCTGAGAATTGAGTTGCATTTGAAGGCAGAGCACAAGTTGTGCTGGTGAACATATTCATCCTCACTAGATGTGAAGCTTTGGTAGAGACCCATCTTGGACCTCCACCCACAATCTTTTGATTTCTCTTTCTTACACAATATTAGGACAGGTCCAAGACCTTACCACGCACAGAAGGAACAATGTTGATGATTCTATTTTTAATGCTGCTGCTACTCCACAGAACCTGTGGGATGCTGGAGGCCAAATGCCTTTTGACTCTGGTGCGGGATGGAGTAGATCCCTTGAATTATTACAGGCCAGGAGATCACCTCATTAGTGGAATCATCTCTGCAACAACTGCTCCATTTCTACCACACAGTTTCAACAGGACTCCCTCTATGAATATTTTATCGTAAGTTAATCTGTATCTGATCTGATGACGTTATAGCCACTCAGATTGTTATTGATTTCAAACACTCCAAACACTGACTATTTGCTAGGGTTCTGTTCCCTGTTTCTGATAGCTTTGGGAAATTATAGCCCTATTTTGCCTTGGAGGGGAGAGTTCAGGAAAGCATCAGTGCCAAGGCATCACTTACGAAACAGAATAGGCTCTTGCATGCACTCTTGCTGCCCATCCAAAAATGCTGTATAAACTCCACTTTTCTCTATATTACTTGGAAAAAAAATACCATGCTTAAAGTGGCAGAGCACGTATCTATCTCCCTTCTAGTATCCTGTTCCCTATAAATTAGAGAGAACCAGAGTGGGGTAGTGATGAAGGTGCTGGAATGGGAGTGGTGAGACCCACGTTCTATTCCCTCCTCAGCTATGGATGTTCTTGGAGGACTCTGGGCCAATTCCTCTCTCTCAGCCCAATATACATACCTTGCAGGGTTATTCATATACATTCTTTTTTTTTTTTAATCTGCGCTCAGTCATTACCGACTCTGCAGTGACTGCTTGGACGAGTCCTTGCAGTTTAAAGAAGTTTAATTAAAAATATAATCAATATCAGAATATCTTTCACAATATAAATGCTAAGAATTAACAGCTTGCTGTGAAATTAGCTTCCCAATCTCCCCTAAAATGTTGCTATTCCCTGGTGATCTTCCAGTCATATGTTAACCCTTTCCAACATGTTCTCTTTCCGTCCTACATATACATGTATGTTTGCACATTTAACGATACCCGTCTGAACTTCCATAGTGTGACTGAATAGCAGTAGAGCCACTGTAGGATCCAATTAGTGGCTGGGAAGCCTGTGGAAGTGATGGAGAGTAAATTCAACAAAAGACTTAAAGGGTTTCTCTTAGGAGATGAAAGTGTAAGCCTTAGAGATAAATACCCCCAAAATAAGCAGAGACCACATAGAGTGAAAAGTAATTGAATGCTCAAAGGGATGTTTTAAGAGTTTCTTCTCTGCTCTCAGTCAACAGGGACCAACAGGCAATAACACTGAAGTTTTAGGGGAGATGAGGATGTGAGATACTCTTGGTGGGAATGGATGTAAGAAGGACCAAAGGCTTTTTCAGTGATATAACCCAAAAGATGTCAAAGCTGATGCAACGAAGTAGCACAACTTAAATGTTATTTTGACTGAAGGAAGATGTAACTATATAAATTTGCAGGAGGGGATCCACAGATTACTGGAAAATGCTATCCTTCTACTTTGCCATTCAGGAGATTAACAAAGATCCAAGGGTTTTACCTAATGTCACCCTGGGCTATAATTTACATGACAACTATTATAACTCAAGAATGACCTTGGATACAATGTTGGACCTACTCTCTATTGGACAAGCAAACATTCCAAACTACCATTGTGGAAAGTGGAAAAACACACTGGCTATAGTTGAAGGGTCTGATTCTGACACATCAATCCAGATTTCAACCATACTGGGCATATATAAAATCCCACAGGTGTGTGCATGTCTGTCTCTGTCAGCTTTGAGAGCTAATCCTACTCAAGAGTTCTGACCAGAGAACTTCAAGGAGTGCTTTACTCCATGGCTAATAAATATTCCACAGCAGGAAGGAAAAGTTAAACCACATTTATCCATTCACACCATTCTCAAATTGAAATGGAGCAGGCACTCTAACTAACTGGGAAAGAAAAAAAACTTGCTGTCAAGAGCTTCATGGGAAGAGAAACAATATTTGAATACTGTAAGGTGAAGAGGTTAACTCTACCCCATGCAAGGATCTTCCTTACAAGAGGTGGAACCCTCCCTTCATCTTAAGGACTGGTATCTTTACTGTAATCTTTGAGTAACAAGCATTTTGGCTTGGATTTGGCACAGACTAAAACATTAACTCTTCCTTTCTTTTTTCAGGTGAGCTACACTTTTGTTTCCCCACTTCTGAGTGATAAAACTCACTTCCCCTTTTTCTACAAGACAGTTCCCCAAGAAGGAATCCAGTACCCAGCAATTGTGAAATTGCTGCAGCATTTTAGATGGACAATGGTTGCTCTTCTTGTTGATTCAGATACTGACAATGGAGAGCGATTCATGAGGATCTTCACACCCGTGCTTGTCAAGAAAGGGATCTGCGTTGTTTTCTCAGAAACAATCTCAAGGAAAACAGTGGAACTGGACCACATCCCTGGTCTTTTTCTCAAGTGGAGCCAAGTCAATGTATTTCTTTATCATGCTGAGAGTATAGACTTTATAGCTGGAATCAAAACTGTACAACTGATATTTCATTTACTGAACACAGCCATGACAGGGAAAGTCTGGATTGCAACAGCATTGTGGGATCTCACCTTGCAGTTGATGTACACTAATCTGCCTTTCAAGTATACCCATAGTATTTTTTCCTTCCTTATCCAGATGGATAATAGGACAGTATATGGTCATTTTGGGGTTATTTACTCTTTCATCAAGCATTTTGTAACTGAAAATTTTAACTGTTTATATACAAAGCATGCCTTGTCCGTAAAAGGCTGGACAAGATGCACTGAAAAAGAAAAAATGGAGACCCTGTACCCAGGAGAAATTAAAATCATCCTATCCCTAGACAGCTACCGTATTTACAATACCGTCTGGGCTGTGGCACGAGCCTTAAATGCTGCATATTTATCCAGCTCCAAGAAGATAATGAGGGAGGGTAGACACAGATTAGAAAGCCAAAGGCTGCAGCCATGGCAGGTATTGTGTTTTCCTCTAGTCATCACTCCGGTGTGTAAAATCAATTGCACGATTCCAGAGTCTTCACTTTGTACTAATCTCTGAGAAAATGTAACATGTCATGATGAGAAATTTTGTGAATCATATTTTTTGATAAAATTGTGTGTTTTGGTCTCCTTTCATCCATCTACTGTTAGTCTTATATGATGCAGTTTCCATGTCTACATTGGTGCTCAGGCATGCATGCGCACGCGCACACACACACACACACACACACAGCAATACAATTTTTCAATGTGACCTCTACCAGATGTCTAAATGGCTCATATCATGTTTGATATGTACACTTTTATTTTTCTTGTTTCTTTTAATATTGAGCCCCAAACCCCTTTACAAACAATTGGCTTTGTATTATCTTTTTAGTTTTTCTTGAAACTGTTTTGATATCACCTAATAATCATTTCTTGGTGAGAGACCTTTTTAATCAACTTACGTTCTTTGATGACTGAGGCAGAAAATTCTGATTTCTTTCCCCACACAACACTATACCACACAATATAACCCCACACACAATCCTACACATTGTAACATAATACAACAACTAAGACAATCTCACACCACACAATGCAACAGCACAGCAACATAATACAACACAATAGTTAATTACATGATTGTCTATTTGTTCTTTTTGAATTTCTACATTTGCCTGTAGTGTAATTGGGCTCACCTTGTAGGGTTCTTCTTAGCTTTCACAAATAATGGTTTTACATCTAATAATATAAGTCTCTTGAAGTGACACTCCAAGGAAGTTACATGAGAAAAGGAAATCAGGTGCCTTACACACCACCAGCTGAATAAGCCCTGAACCTGAAGATTCAAGGGTGAAATTTGAAAATGATGATACAGGTATCAAAATTGTTCTCTTTCCCACAATTCTGTCATGTTCTTTGTCATTCTAGTTTCATTTTTTCCTGCAAAATCCCCAGTTTTACAATAATTCCATGGAAAGACTGTTTTTGGATGAAAATGGGAAACTGCTGGCTGACCTTGACATCATGAACTGGATTAAGTTGCCCAATGGGTCTGTCATCAGGATGAAATTGGCGAGTATAGAAAGACAAGGAGCAGCAGAATCTAAATTCATTATCAACCATAATGCCACTGTGTTGCTCAAAAGGCTCAGTATGGTAGGGAACATTATTTATTTCATTTTTCCACTTCTTCGCCTCTTAAGCTCTGTTTAAGATAGTGTAATATTCTTTCCACTTCTTCGCCTCTTAAGTGGTGTGTAAGAATAGTGTAATATTCTTTCCACCTGTGCTATCCAGCAGTTCTTCAGAATAATGGCCTTCAAATTCAAGTTTAAGGTTTTTTCTCCTCCCTCTTGCTCTTCTTTCATGCCATGTATTTGGCATCCACAATACAATGCCCAGGACAAGCAGGGAAGTCCCACCTTACCATTTGACCCTGAGCATCAGGCAAATAATAAAGGAAGAGACCTGAAGTGGAGGGTGGTGATTAAGGCACCAGGCTAGAAACCAGGATGCTGTGAGTTCTAGTTCCGCCTTAGGCATGAAAGCCAGCTGGGTGACTTTGGGCCAGTCACTCTCTTTCAGCCCAACTCACCTCACAGGGTTGTTGTTGTGGGGAAAATAGGAGGAGGAAGGAGTATTAGGTATGTTTACCACCTTAAGTTATTTATAAAAATAATAAAGGCTGGATAAAAAATATATTTAAAAAATCTTGTTTTAACTCCTATGAGCAAAAAGGCACAATAGAAATTGTAAAATAAATAAGTCATAGAATTATAGAATGTAAGGGTTGGAAGTTATCTGAGAGCTCATCTAGTATAGGTAGTCCTCGATTTATGACCACAATTAGGACTGGAACTTCCATTGCTAAACAATGAGGTCGTTAAGTGAGTCATGCCTGATTTTATGACCTTTTTTGCCATGGTTCCCCCATTGTTTTTGTTTGTCAGAAGCCAGCTGGGAAGGTTGCAAATGGTGATAACATGACCCCAGGATGCTGCAACCATCGTAAATGTCAGTTGCATGCCAAGCACCCAAATTTTGATCATGTGATGATGATTGCAAATGCAAGGACCAGTCATAAGTCACTTTTTTCAGCATCGTCATAACTTTGAATGGTTGGTAACTTAATCGTCATCAGTCAAGGATTACCTGTACAACCCTTGTCGCCCGTAGGAGCCCATCACTACCGCAGCCACAACAGACGGCCATCCAGATTTTGTTTACTTCCAGAGGAGAGGCCCCTACCACCTGAGGAAGCCCATCCCACTACTGAATGCTCTTATCATTAGGGCATTCTTCTTCATCTCCATCTGAAATCTTCTTTGTTATTGTAATTTAAACCCTTATCTTCTGCAACAGTAGTGAACACAGATACTCCATCTTCTATATAAGAGTCATCCTCTGCAGGAGATGGGCAGCATACAAATAAAATAAATAAATAAATCAGCCAGCCAGCCAGCCATTTTTCTCTACTAGGATCTTCTGGTAGTCTTGGTTAAATGCTTTACTGAAGACAAATAATACATTCATGTTTAGATTTAACCAGGTGAATTCTATGTTATGTGACATAGATTCATAGTATGAGCTCTATCCATTTTCCTTGATGATCCTTCTTTTCATACTTAGCCCCTGCCCCATTCCAGATGTGTGGAAATCTGCCATCGTGGCTTTGTCAAAGTGGTCCGGGAAGGAGAGCCACGTTGCTGTTATGATTGTATTCTTTGCATGGAAGGGACTGTCTCCACTCAGGAAGGTGGGTGACTCTAAGGCAAGGGCAGCTTTGGGAAAGAGAACAAATAAATATGAGACAATTCTGACAAATAGGTTTGAAATCATATTTCTATGTCTGGGCCATTTTTATTGTAATTGTTTTAATATTCATAATCCCACAGGATAGACAGAGAAAATTGCTTGGTTCACATTTCAGTTTGAAATATATTCTTTTCATAAGAGATAACTAGTAGATGAATCATGGAGTCCTTGGGGTTCTCTGAGCCTGGTTCTTCTCTTGCAAACATTTCGTTACCCGGCTAGGTAACATCTTCAGTGCTAGAATGGAATGGGGCTTGCTCTCTCTTTATATATTGTGGCATGCCCTGCCAGTGTGGGTGTGGGTGTAGGTTTTGTTTTGTTTTATTTTTCTCCTCTCCGGTAGTTCCTTGATTAGGGTATTGTCTACTGCTTGATTGTATGTCTGGTGATAATCTTGGTGTTAAA